TCAAAAGAGTAATGGATCAATACACTCTTTTATTACTCAAAAAGATGAAAAAATCACTCAAAGGTGATATAATATTAAACTAGTATGGCTATTGCCAACAACAAGAAGATTAAAAAGTCTTGAAACAAGACTAATGACTAAAAAGACATTAACAAGAGTAGAGAAGGTTTCACTCTTGCCTCTATATATACTATCTAACTAGGAGTTATGTGATGATATTCTATAGGACCTCCAATACATGTTGACTTTGGAAGATATATGTCTTAACTTAGAAATCAAGTTTCCTATATGTTACAAGCTACCAACTTATGTAATACATGGCTATCTTATTGGCTAAATTTCTAACCTATCAATTAACTACAAACATGTGTAAAGTCAAATACGCAACTATAAAGCTTTTAAGAAGCTTTGCCATAAGATAATATCAAATCTACATATATTTATCTTTTATGTAATACTTTTTATTTAGATAAATATAAATGTCTAGGACAACAAGATTATCATCACTCTTAGAGTAGAAATTTCATGTATTATCAACGTCAACTATGAAGGTTTTATTTCTACATCTATGGAAGAAGTCAAAAATGAAGTTCAAAGTCTATGCCAAGAGATTGTGTAATTGAAAGAAGCAAGCAAGTCAACCTTATAATTAAATCCAAAAAGTCTTGCTACTGTAAGTATGACGGGATCAAAGATAAGTATGCTAGAAAAGTTTGATGGAACAAGGTCAAAATTTCAAGAATTTTTACAAAAAATGAAGCTTTGTTTAATATTACATCTTTCATAAAGCTAAAGTTAAGACTTTGTACTTTTTTGGTCTTATACAAAAATCTATTAAAAAATATTTATGAAATAAAAATTTAAAAAATATTATACAATTTTTTTTAAAGTAGATTGATAATTTTTATGGCTAATATAATTTAATTAAAAATAATTTATTCTATATTTTACTTATATTTATAAATATATTATCATTATATTCCTTCCTCTTTATAAATAAAACTAATTATCCTCCAAATAAATTTGATGCACTTAAATTAAGTGCATATAGCAAGGTATGGAACTCTGGTGCAAGTTAATAATATTATTAAGATTACGTCTTGCAATCAAAAAACATATTAGATTTATTTTTATCATCGATTGAAAACTTTTCAAAGAAATTTGTAGTCCAAATGGAAGAAACTTTCATTCATAAAACTAATCATTATCAAGCCCATTAATATCCTAAAAGAATGTAGTTTTTTTTTTTTTTTTTTTCACAAATACAAATAATTAGTAATATTTGGACTTAAGATCTAAAATATCTTTATATAAAGAATAATATCTGTTTTAGTATTGGCATATCATATTTGTATGACTTTATATGCTAAGTCATTTGATCAAAACCTTAGCACATTTATTTTTAATTTATTTATATTATTTTTTATTAATATTATTAATTTTAATATGTCTTATTTTTTTGTGTCACAATTTGCATCAACTTGTTGACATTGTAATGATTTCATCTAATAGTCTTTGCAATATTATTTTGTCATTATAATAAAATTTAGGATCTTTAGACATCAAGGTTTATAATTCAATTCTATATGTATAGTAGGAACACCACTGTAAAGTTTATAAAATGGTTGAAAATTCTATAAATACATTACATATTAAAGTTGGTACACATTATCTTTGGCTATTTCATCTTATCTTTTGATTCTTTTATTTTTTAAGTTTTATTTTTTATTTATTCTTTATATTTTTTTCTTATTATTTTATTTATTTATATATTATCTTTTAATTTCTTCTTTGTATATTTAAATAGTTTCATATATAGATTCAAATAAAAAACCAAAAATTTAAATTCACCTCAACATAATTTAATATTTTAACATTTTAGCAACTGATAAAATCAACAAGTTGGAAAAATTATGATATTTAGATTGTTATTAAATATAAAGAAAATAATAAGTTTTGATTAATTATTATTAAAAATATCTATAATTGAGTCCCAGACTGCAAGTTATTATTAAAAAAAATTAAAATTAAAATTATAAATCTATAATATATAATAACTACATATATATAATAGGATAATAATTAGACAAAGTTTGGTTTGATCAAGAGATGAAGTAATGTTATTAAAGATTTAGGCCATTTATACAATCTCAATCCTATCTATGAATAAGATGGAAAATATTTGAAGTAAGTAAGAATCTAAAGATATTTGATATGAAT